ACTACTCACTCTCCGCAACTCGCTACCCAATACAAAATCTTCACTACCCACTACGCACTACTCGCCACTCACTACTCCCGACTCCCCACTCACTATGTCACTAGTCGCAAGTCGCTACTCACTACTCACAGCTCACTACTCACTACTCACGACTCATTACTCACTACTCACTAATTTAAACTCGCAACTCCCTACTCACTACCCACTACTCAATACCCATTTCTCGCTTCTCACTACTCACTACTCACTATTCACGACTCCCTACTCACGACTCGCTACTCACTACTCACTACTCGCTACTCCCTACTCGCTACGCAGTACTCCCTACTCAAATTCACTACTGACTCCTGACTACTCCCTCCTCACTACTCACTACTCACAAGGCCCTACTCGCTACCAACTACTCACTACTCGCTTCTCCCTACTCGCTACTCCCTACTCGCTACTGCCCACTCACTACTCCTCGATATTCGCTACTGTCTACCCCCTGATCCCTACTCCCTGCTCGCTACTCACTATACACTACTCTCTACACATTACTCACTCCTCACTACTCACTACTCAAAATTCCTTACTCTCTACTTCCCACTACTCAGTACCCACTACTCACCACTCACTACTCAGTAATATCTACCCACTACTCACTACTACCACTACCCATTACCCACTACTCACTACTCACGACTCACGACTCACGACTCACTGCGCACTACTCACTATCAAATACACTACTCACCAATCGCAACTCAAAACACTCTACTCTCTACTCGCTACCCGAGAGGCCCCCTCCCCAGCCCCTGTTCGGCGCAAAGAGGGGAAGGGGGGGGGGGGTCGAACCCCCCCCCCTTTCCAGCGCCACGGGGGGGTTCGGACCCCCCCCCCTGAAGGGGTGGAGGGGGGGCGTCGAAAATCCCACCCCCTCCTTGAGGGGGGGGGGGGTTGCGAGCACACCCCTCCTTTTGTGTATTCAGGGCCATCCACTGGCGCGCCTTTGTTACTGACTCCAAGTGATTCCCCTCATTTCGACCCGTTGCCTGGCAGGGGGGGAGCGGGGGGGGGTCCCTGGGTCCCGCGAGGGGTGTCCCAAATGGGGTGGGTCCCCGGCGGGGCCCTGGGCAGGGGGGTCCGGGGGCCCCAGGGGGATCCCGAGGAGGAGGTCCAGGGGGGGGGGGGGGCGGGGAGTTCCTGGGGGTCGATACCTCCCCCACAGGGGGGCCGCCCCGGTCGACAAGGGGAGCAGGGGGGCGGCCCTCGCGTGGGCAGGGGGTGCTCAGGACCCCTCCCTTCGCCTGCCCAGGTGAGCAAAGGGGGCCACCACCCCTCCTTCTCCTGGACACCCCCGCCCGCCGCCGGAGGCACTCACCTGACTCTGGTCTGCTGTTGCTGCGTGTTTCCCTTCATGCCTCCGAGAGGCCTCAGACTGCTCCTAGGCGGCTCCAAGTGGCCACAGAGCTTCCCAAAGTCCCCCAAGATGCCCCCCAGCAGAGCCCAAAAGGCTCCCAAGAGAGCCCCAAGAAGGGTTCCGGAGCGTCAGCATCGTCGTCGTCGCCGCCGCCGCCACCGTCGTCGTCGTCCCCATTCAGGGTCAGCGGCACCATCCGCAAGGCCTTCCCAATACAACAGTTGCAAAGATGGAGGGCGGGCCATTTTCAGAGCGGGGCTCCCGCCGTGGCCCCGCGCACACTCGCCTTCGAAGTGTGCAACAGCTTTAAGGATGGAGGGCGGCTCTTGTTCAAAATATGGCTCTCGCCTTTGCGCCTCCCAGCTCCTTGGAACAGCTTCAAGGATGGACCGCGGGCCGTTGTTTATATGTGGCTCTCGGCTTAGCGCCACGCACCTTCTTTTAACAGCTGTGCAACAGCTTCCCTGAAGGAAGGAGGCAGTCTCTCATAAATGTTACACTCGCCATTGCGCCGCGAACACTAATCTTAAAAGCTTGCGACGGTATCAAAGATGGAAGGGTAATTGTTTTCAAAATGGTGCTCTCGCGTCAGCGCCGGCCAACATATTCACGGATGGATGGCGGTTCCTCTTCAAAGTGCGCGCGCTGTCTTACTTAGGCGCCGCGCCGCGAACATTCGTCTCAAAATCTGCCACCGTATTCTAGCATTGAGCACGGGTCGCTTCCAAAATGCGGCTCTCGCCTCGGCGCCGTGCGCATTCGTTCTTGTTCTGCAACGTTCGCAGGATTGAGAACTGATCAGCTTCAAAATGGCATGTTTGCTTGAGGCTTCGATCGTTCAAACTCGACGCAGGTAGCACACATCCAAGGCGGCTCTTTTTTCAAGATGGAGCTGTCCCTTGGGGATTCCTCGAAACGCATCACCACAAGAGCAAAAGTGTGCAACGTGTAACATAGATGGAAGGGCGGCCGTTCTGCGAGAGGGGGACGTACCTGGACGGCTCGATGAACTGTATGATCATAGCTTCACGCGTTCTTGATTACGCACTCTCCAGAAAATGCGAAGCAATTCATCAATTCCTTTCAAAGCGGAGCCCTTGCAAAAGTTAGCCCAACGGTGCTGATCTTTCAGGGGGGGGGGCCTATAGCAGTGAGAATGAAGACGTACAGGGGCGCATGAGGAGGGGGCTGAAAGGGAGGGTGCTCTGCAGCATCGCTGGTGCATATTTGATGTGCTATCGTCCTTCTCCTCCCCCTCCTCCTCCTCCTCCTCCTCCTCCTCCTCCTCCTCCTCCTCCTCAGTTGCAATTACACAATCCTCATCATCCATCCTCCTCTCTTCCTCCGCCTCTTCATCCACCTCCCCCTCTGCCTCCGCCTCCGCGTCCTCCTCCTCCTCCTCCTCCTCCTCCTCCTCCTCCTCCTCCTCCTCCTCCAGCTCCCCCTCATTTAGTCGTTCGTTCATCCATCCATCCGTCCGTCCGTCCGTCCGTCCATCCATCCATCCATCCATCCGTCCGTGCGTCCGTCGGTCCGTCCGTCCATCATCATCATCATCATCATCATCATCATCATCATCATCATCATCGTCATCATCATCATCATCGCCACCACCACCACCACCACCATCATCATCATCATCATCATCATCATCATCATCATCATCATCATCATCATCGTCACCACCATCATCGACAGCAGCAGCTGCTGCAGCAGCAGGAGCATCAGCGACATAATCAGCAGCATCAGCATCAGTATCAGCATCAGTACCAGTATCAGTATCAGTATCAATATCAGTATCCATATCACCGCCATCGTCATCATCATCATCATCATCATCATCATCATCATCATCATCATCCACGACATCAGCATCGTCGTCATCATCATCACCATCAAAGTCATCATGGACATCGTCAGAATCATCAAGAAAATCAGCATCAGCAGCATCGGCGTCGCCATAATCATCGTCAACCTTGTCAGCGTAATCGTCACTAGCATCATCATCTAATTCACCACTGTCAGCATCGTCACCATCACAACCACAGTCAGCATCATCATCGCCACCACGATCATCATCACCTTCACCATCAACAGCAGCATCATCATCATCATCGATCATCACCATCAGCAGAAACATAATCATCGTCATCGTCACGATTATCATCACCATCAGCATCATCACCGTCATTACCAGCAGCAGCATCATCATCAAAAGCATCACCATCGTCATCGTCGTCATCATCAGCATAATCATCATCATCATCATCATCATCATCATCATCATCATCATCATCATCATCATCATCATCATCATCATCGTCAGCATCAGCATCATAAGTAACAGCATCAGCAGCATCATCACCATCATCAGCATCGTCAGCAGCATCAGCATCAGTATCATCATAATCATCAGACTCAGCATCAGCAGCATCATCATCAGCATGGTCAGCACCGTCATCATCATCAGCATCAGCGTCATCATCATCGTCATCATCATCAACATCATCATCAACATCATCATCGTGACATCGTCATCATCAACATCATCATCGTCAGGATCATCCGCAACATCCTTATCATCACCAGCATCATAACAATATCAACATTCACAATCATCATAAGCATCATAATCATCACCATGCCCATCATCATCATCATCATCATCATCATCAGAACCATCATCATCGTCATCATCATCATCATCAGCACAATCAACATCGTCATCGTCATCGTCATCATCATCAGTTTCATCATGATCACCATCATCATCATCATCATCAGCATCATCATCATTATAATCATCGTCAAGGTCGTCGTCGACGTCAGCAGCAACATCATCATCAGCACCATCATAATCATTATCACAAGCATAATCAGCGTCATCATCATCAGCAGCAGCTTATTTATCATTATCATCGTCCTCACCACCACCTCCACAATCGTCATCATCATCATCATCATCATCATCATCATCATCATCATCGTCATCCTCGCCGTCGCCAATATCATCATCATCAGCATCGTCACCACCACCGACAACACCCTAATCATTCACATAAGCAACAGCATGGTGATCATCGTCATCATTGACGGTGTCAGCGGTGTCATCATCATCGTTGACATCACCGTCGTCTCACCCTCATTGGCGCCACAATCGTCATTATCGGCGGAACCATTATATGAGTCAATCGCCATCCTCATCATGCTCACCAACACCATCAGTAAACATAACCCGCATGTTCATGAGCATTGGCATAATCACCACCGCCGCGATTATCAACACCAGCATCATCATCGTCAACAACTATCAGCAGCAGCAGCATCATCACAATCATAAGCATCATCAGCAGCAGCATCATCAACATCATCACCACAATCATCGTCATCAGAATCATCACCTCCACCATCATCATGAGCAGCAGCATCATCATCATCGCCATAATCACCACCACCATCATCGGACAACTTGCATCGTGCTCACAATCAGCAGCATAGCATTCCCTGCCGCCATGCGCAACATCAGCATCCTCGTATACGTCGTCGTCATACTCGTTTGGATCTGGCTCTGCCTCTTCTTCGCCTGCCGCTTCCTCCT